ATATTAATTTTGTCAGATGTTTCGCAAACGATAAAAATTTATCACGTCGTTCAGAAACGGAGCAAGCTTTACATAGATGAACGAAAAAAGACTTCTTCTCCAAGACTTGGACCAGAACCAAAGCCAATTTTCCGCCATGGTATCGCGAAAACAAGCGTAATTCGCGAGGATGAACGGGTATAAATCGCGTCCAGCATCAAACAAACGCGTCTCGATAGAAATAAATCGGGCAACGGCCGGAAGAAGGGTTTCCTGGAACAAGGAATTAGCTTAATTACACAAAGAAAAATATTCCTCGGGAACTCGGAACTTAATTCCCCTCGTGGAATAATGCACGACCAGGCCAGGTTGATAAAAAGTTTTTCGGGAAATCGTGGAAGAAGAAACTTGCGAACCTTCTAATTTCGTGGAAGTGAGTTCGCGTAGGGGCTAATTGAATTTCATATTCGAATCGAGAGACAGTTCTCTGGTAATTAATTACCATTCAGGGATGCACGCATCGTCCTTCCACGTTTTTCTCGCCTCCTTCCCTTTTTTTTTTTTTTTTGCTCAAAGAGTGCGGGCCACAGATGCTTCCTCGAATTTTCGAAGGAAGGGGAAATTCTTCCATGATTTTTTTTTTAAGTCGTCCATTCGACAACACGACGACACAGCGTTTCGAGTTGTAATGCAGTTAGTTAATGGAGATGAATCGAAGAAGAGTAAGTTGCTTGCTGACAAACTTAATTTTCTTTCTTGAGAAGGAGGGCAAACTTGTTCGAGTAACTTGATTATTTCGTATTAAGTGGAATTTAATACATGGTAGAGTAAATGGTTTCTCGAATGGAAAGAACTTCATCTTTGTTTTGAAAAGAAAGTAAAAGGAATTCGATAATATCGTTGCGATAAAATTTTAAAGAACAACTCGATTGAATTTTTCTTCTTTTTTTGTTCGATCGATAGAAGCAAATGATACTTTTCTTTCTCTCTCTCTCTCTCACAGTGATTCTATTTTATTTTTGTATATACATCGTTTTCCCACAAGGAAAATCCGAAGATTGAATTTCATATGGTGAGATATGAGAGGAATAACGTGCAGAAATATTCGAACAGTCAATGAAATCATCGTGCAAATCGTCTGAGGCGAAACAAAATGACAGTCAAGCGAATTGTTTACACATTGTTGACAAGGTGCCAACGTTACTCGTTATACTTCCTATTTGCTCCACTCTCTACTCTACGTTGTAAAAACAGGAATAAGAGAAATTGGTTGGAGAATAAAGATTGTACTACGATACACCTGTTCAATTGAAGAGTCTCTTTCACGGAGAGAAATCTCGATTCGATCCGAGGAATCTGTTCTTCTTCTTCTTCTTCCTTTTTTTTACGAGTATTGTTCCAAGCAACGGGAAAATAATTTGAAAAATTGTAGAAATTCGGATTTCTGAAATGTAAAAAAATGTGACATAAGGTTTACGGAAATTTTCAAACCTGATGAAACCTGATCTCCATCCTTCGTAATTTTTGTTTGCAATTTAAATTCGATGGTTTGCGATGCGGAGAAACCGGGGAAAACTTCCAATTTTCGAACGCTAATTAAAATTCAAAATTTTTCCTCGCGAACGTGTAATTAAAAAAAAGTTAATTAAAAACTTGTACAAAAACGTGAAGGTTTTAAATTTCAAATATTACGAAGAAACTCTGTGTATGTCATGTATTCACTTCGTAATTGTAAATTATTCACAAATTAAAAATGTATTATTTTTAACAAACAAAAAAAGTTAAAAAAAAGGAAAAGAATAATCGTTTTTCTCGAGTGAAACGAAACGTAATTCATCGTTCCCTTTACGTACAATTATAATTCGAATAAATAAACGAAATATATTTAGAAAAATAAACGCGTGATAACACGAATTCCATATCCAGTTTTATCCACCATTTCTCATATTTTTTTTTTATACGTGCCTAGTAGCCTCTTATATGCGTTCCAAGTGCATCAAATCATATTTCGCGTTATGGCAGCTCCATGAATCCACAAGAACGACGGGAATTTTTCGTCGTAAAATCCTTTAGTTATCGACTTTCTTCTCCAACGGCGAACTTGTGTCTGTTAGCGCAACATCTTCAAATACGTTCCCTTTCAGAATTTCTCCTCTGAAAATTGCCCCTCAAAAATCGTCCCATTTCCCACGAAGAAAACTCTTCCTCTAGAACCCAATGGAAATCAATTTGTTCTATCGATTTTCGATGCCCGCTCGATTAAATTCCATCGCGCTTAAACACATGGAAAAAGTGTGCAATGGCAAACTCGGTCACCGGTCTGGTCGGATTCATGAATAACAAAAAAAATATTCCATCCCCGAGGCAATCGCATCATCCACACGATCGATGAGTACTTGTTGAATCAACTTTCACTCCCCGTTTCGTTTCAAGATTACCGACTTCCACGGAAGATCGCCTGGTTTTATTTTCACTCGATTATTCCCCTCGATGGAATCGGAAATTTTCTTGCCTTCTCGCGAGGAATGGAGCTTAAAGGGTGAACAGGGTGGGTCATCCTTCCCCTGCAACACGCTTTCCATTGTTCTCGACAAAGTTGCAAAGTCACGACACGAAGGAAATTACTCGTCTGGTATCTTGGTATATTGTTATTTCATGCCATATTTTATTTATCGCCGTGATCGAATTCCGGCAATTCAAAACCTTGCCTCAATTGCTTGTTTAATAAAATCGATTCGACTTAATTACAATTCGCAGATATTGTTTTGCTCGTCATACATCAAAACTTCCTGCAAAAAGTGTTGTTTGCGAACGCATTTCAGCGCGGGTGAATCAATCGAACGAAATCAATCACCCTCGTTCAACGCTCGATTCAAAAAATCAATATTCGAAAAAAAAAGTGAATTTCAAGAGTTTTAAAGAGTAGTTTCCTTCCACCACTGCTTGCTCGAACATGTCAATTAATTCGAAATGATTGAAACGGTTGTTGCTCACGCGATTGCGTACAGGTTTCATTTCGAAGTAAACGTCCATTGTCGGGTTCGAGATCGTAACGTAAATGTTTTAATAATGGGGGGGGGAGTTCAAATTGAATGGCCTGCATGCGCGCATAACACGCTCTCCCTGCAATGGCACCCGGAGGACTCGTAGACATCCGCGTTTTCCACGAACGAATCCACGGAATCGATTCCAAGTTTCAATAAATTTCGATTAGAATTGAAGGGAGACGAGAGACGACGAGATAAGAATAGGGGCAGAGTGGAAACGCGAGGAGGGGGATGATTCATTTCGATCATCTCGTCGAATAGGTGTGCAACTTCTCCCTCTCTCTTTTTTCTTCCCCCCTTCTCTAACCGCGGTTTTAACGAGACCTATATAACCCCTCCCTCCGTTTTGTCTTTCCTCGTTCTCGTTGATGGGGATCATTGCGACACGAAGAATGATATATTCGCGACAGGCTCATCGATCAGAGAAAGCAGTTTAATGGAGGCTATTGGGTTCAGGAAGCGAGAGAAAGGGAAGCGAAATTGGAATTCGTAATTCTTCAAATGTGCTCGCCCGTTTGTGAAACGCTCATTGACAAATTGTGTTATTAGATTCGATGATTCGAATATATATTATTCTATTATGTTATATAAAAAATGTTGTATTCTACGTGGACAGAAAAATTTTCATTAAAATCAGTATCTTTCAATTAGATTTGCATTTATTCCTCTTCGACGTTGGTATACGCGTGTGATGGATTGGATACAATTGAAAATGATGTGGAGAAATGTATGCGCACAAGCGACGTATCGTATCGTGGCTGTTCAAGGATAAATCGATAAGCGAAGGTACACGTGCATATCTGTTCTTCCATGTGCACACGATTCTTCCACGGCAAAGTTCCGTTATTAAATTAAACGATTCGGGTAAACAGCTCGAATTACACGATGCATTAGAACGAAAAATTGCGGAATGTCTGATTTTCCGATCGATTTTTCGAAGAATTGATGGAAAAGAGGATGCTCGATTCCTAACTTTTCCAGTTAATATGTTAAATTTCCTCGAGGAATTTGTGCATGTAAACCCAACGGTATCTGATCAATTCACGGCACAGAAATAATTTCACGGGGATTGGTATTCTACGGGGAATCCACGTTTCTTTCTTTTTTTTTTCTTTCTTTCTTTCTTTCCACTTTCAAGATTTCAAGCCGAGACCACCACGGATAGATGGATCGCTCGTCCGGAAAATTTACCGGGAGTAAAATCGTTTCGTGATCACACGATCCTCGAGAGACTACAAACGAACATCCATTCTCGAATTATTGGAATTTCTTCTTCGTCACAGAGAGGCAAATATATTTTGTTACTCGATTTACCGCCCCGCCTCTTTCTAATGGCGAACCTCATTAAATTAAAATTTGATACGATAACGTGGATAACGTTGCATTCTCTGCTTTTGATTCTTCTTACATCTATACCCAGAATATGTGGTATCATCACGTTGATTTTCAGTTATTAATTTTCATTAATAATAAAGTTGTAACTTTTCGATTCTGCCTCTCCCTCATGGTGAAACTTAAATTTTAAATTCGATAGTAATTATTTATTAATCTCTTAAAATTGTAACCTAAACCGATAATAAATGCATATTAAGAATCGTTAAAATTTTAATCTTCGATGTTAAAAGCGTCCATCCCTTTTATATATTCGCGTAATAGGAGGAAAATCATCGTTTCACAGATTTTCCAAATGGAATTGCGAGATTTGAGAGAGACGATATCATCGTTTCATCGATGAGAAAGGTTATTTTGGAAAGGCTGGTGTTAAATTACAAGGCAAATTTACTCTTACTACTCCTCTTGCATGACCCTTCCCCGACGCGTGTTTTCGCATGATGGCATGCTTTGGCCCGGGGAATTCGTATCCTCGGCGACGAATGAGCGGAGTCTTTGCTCAAGCATGAATCTCCCTAGAAAGCAAACAACAATTCCATTCGGGGTTACACGGTCTAATTTTCTGGGCACTCATTGTTGCAGGCACACACGCCCCTACTTGCGGCTGACACGAGACATGTAAGTAGACAAAACAGATGGTGTGAACACAACAACAACAGCAACACAATGCACAATATTATTCATAATAATTGGACATATTGTGACGTATTGTGATTCGTTAAAAGTGCTCGAGTAATCTAACGAATACGATATTTGCGTTGTAGGAAACATTGTTGAAAATGTTATTAGCACTGTGAACATATATAAAATAATATTTACTGCAAAATGTTTATTCCGTGGAAGAATAAAAATGAATCGATATTGTGATAATATGATATTAATAATATGATATTAATTAATCGTATCGTAATAATAATAATATGTCGTATTAATGATCAATAATAATTAACTAAATTATAATATAATAATATAACATAATGATGTAATAATTAATTGTTCGTATAATTTTCTAATTATCAGTGCTAATAATATTCTGAAAATTTTCACATTGTATCGTATCATCAAAATTTTGACAACAAATACTTTCATAATACTTTCATAAATCAATCATTCTAATCAACTTTTCTTTTGTATCTGTATAACAACAATTGGAAGCATTTCGATGCGCAATATGCGCAATTGTCGAAAAATAATTCATTCGATCCTGTATCGTATTTCTCCTCATCCCTTGTTCGAACAAATTCACGATTAAACATCAATAATATCCGGTTATACACCCAGCCGTAATAATTTTGCAATTAACCGCGTTTCACGAGCTCGAATTTCCGCAAATTGTTTTTCCTTCTTTCCAGAATTAAAATTATAGTTCAATTGTGCGTCGATTTTCCTTCTTCAATAAACGAATTAGAATTTCTTCGTTTCGATACTCTGTTTTTATTTTGACAGAAAATTTTGTTTCTTTTTCTCTTTCCTTCCTTTCTTTTTCTTTCTACACGATAGAAGCTTCGCATTCATTTTTCATTTCCATAATCGATTTTTACAGGGTTGTCAGGATTATCTATGCAAATATGTTTGATTCGATTATGTTCGCAGATCAGGTAACACGTTGAAACTAGAGTAACAATTCTATTCTCTAAAGAATCGAATTTGAGGAAATACGTATCACAATTATATATTCTTCTAACCCAGTAATGACTCGAAGGATATTAGAGTAGATTTTAAGGTTCGATAAACCTGTCGATAATTTGCTGCTTTCAACTTATCGTAGTTTACATTTACACATAATTTCCCTAAGGATATTGTTTAATGAATCATGCAGAGAAAATGCGGTGGATAATTATTTGACCCCTCGACCCATTACCGTTAATGATTACCAATTGCACAATTATCGAGCGAATTCGAGTTTGAATCGATTAACCAAACTACTATCTATCCTCTATCTTTTATTATTTCCCTCGTTAATTCTCGTTAATTTTTCCCATTCCACCCGGTATCATCCTATGATTCACTTCCTTCGATCACCTCTCGCTCGCGTGGTTCAAAATGTCGAGGGTAACCTGCCCTTTTCAGCAAACTTGACAACCAATCCTTCCTTCCACCATCGTCGTCACGCTATTCGAATGAAAAGATTCATGAAGGGGTTTTATTCGACTCGTTTTGAAATTCAACCAAGACGAATGCATATTTTACCTGTAGATCGTGGTAAAGGGAAACGAGGGTGTAGAAAGTCGAAGAAGGAGTATCCACCCGCTAAATCGAGTAAACCCCCGATTCTTGTAACTTTCTGGAATGCCGACGATTATCTTTCTCATTCCTTGATTCTTGCTTCTCCCCTTCGTCGATCTATTTCGCGCGCTTGGGATTCCAGGAAATGAGATCAATTTCACGCCAAGGAACCATCTCCATCTCCACTGTTAGATCCGTTTCGCGATGAAATTAGTCTCGAAATATATACGAGGGGAGAGATTATGTAAAATTTTATCGATGCAACAAATTTCCTCTATAAGGGAATTTCATTGGCGCGAATTGTCGTAAGATTTAGGTATTCTCTGCGGGACCATTTTGATCTCCCGGCTGTGGGATCTGAAATCTGGAATTCCGTGTAGCTGTTCTACCATTCCCCTTGAGAAAACACATCCCTGTTTCGCATTATCTCGGCTCATCGGAATCCTAATTCCATTAGATTTCCCTCCATCGTTTCTCTTTCGACGCTTGTTTCCCATTCAGGGATAACACCGATTGTTATTATCCTCGCGACATTTCCATTCGGTTTATCTTATTACAGTGGATACGGTTAATTCAATTTATCGCGTATGCATCTCGGGTGTTGTTACAATAAATATAAATTCGTGAAATTTGTGAACAATACTTCTCAAAAATTGGAAAAGTTGCAAAATCGATACTGCGCTTGCGACGATATTTCGTTCAAGAGTGAAGCGACATTATCGAAATAGCCGAATGTTTTTATAATGTAACAAATACTCCGCGCAAAATGATTAATAGCTCGAGCGCATTTTCCTCCTCCAGCTTATTTTTTCGAATCCTCTTCGCCTATCAGCGCGTGATACGTTGCTCTCCCCGCGTTTCCAGCCCCTAAAATTATATTACGGTCGAGGGGCGTTGTAACGGGGACGTGTCATATGAATGACGTGAGCATGTGCCCCTCCCCCTCCCCCTCGAATTGTCGAGATTATGTCGGTTGGATCGAAGTTTCCGGTCCTCCAAGGGCATCCTTCGATTCTGGTTAAATTAACGGAAATGAACGTCATTTTAGCATCATCCTGCGATCCGGTTTTACGATGCTGAAGATTGAATCTGGTTGTAAATTGATCTAGGCCTATCGCCTCGCGCTAGAAATATTTCCACGTCGAGTTTAATTAAGGATTTTTAATTCCAACGTATTGGAAATTTACCTGTATTGTTAATGTGATGACACGTTTCCACGAATTTTTTAATCTTTTTAATCTCACAGCTAATGTAATTATGGTAGAGCACACCCAGCTTGTCTAACACGTAGTTAAATGCAGATATATTGTTTTAGAAGATATAAATTCATATAAATATCAACTCTTTTTTAATGCAAATCGTGAACAGATTTCAAACCTATATTAATCATCATCAAAGTTATGGTTGAATAAAATAAAATTTTCATGAATATATTTCTTTGAATTATAATCTGGTTTATCTTCATTCTTATTATCATCACCAAGCTGAAGATTCGACAGCCAATAAACTTATTGGAATCGGCTCGGTGGAAGTCTGGCTCTATTGGATCCCTCCCCCAAAATCGATCGATCCAATCTAAAGTTTGAAGCTTCCTTTCAATATCTGTTTACCGGCGCAATCTAGCTACAATCACTTGTTTAATATTAAAATGGAAGAATTGTTCTACTCTTGATAGAAACTAGCTATATAAGTTGTTTTCGCTTCGTAAACGTACGCAGTTACGGTTACAGGGATCGAGGAATGAATAGTTAATAGTTATCGGCGTACAGTATTACAAGTAATTGGTTTTTTCCGTTCGTTGAAATGCTCCGCGCATGCAATAATTCCCTCCATCAAAAGGTAATTAAGCGGCCGGCTTTTGTCCCTTCAAACACGTCATTCGTATCGTATTCATAATAATCATTCCCACATTATTCGTATTCTATCGTAGATAATTCGTATCTAGATTAAAATATATACACACGGTTTATCGTATTCATGGATCGATTATAAATTGGCGTCGAGTATTACTTATCGAAATTACCAGATATTTCCAGATCTACGAGTGAATCATCCGGCTATGACGTTCAAATAAACCATCCGATCGAGATTCAATATTTCCAGCCAGACAATAACGGATCCAGTAACAAAATTGTTGATTGAACGAAATGACTCGGCCAATGAAATGTTTGTATTATTAATTAATTGGACGAGATTTGTCGTGTGTGCATGCGAATATGTGGATTCCCAAAGGTTTCGTCGCGTCGCTAATTTCGATAATTTCCAAAATTTACGTCGAATTTATTGTCGATCGATTGTCTAAGCCAAATTAGATAGCGGAATATATTTATTATTCGGAGAAAGACAATGTTTATTCATGCTCCAGTTTGCATTAACATTTAGACTCACAATCTATTGCAAGGAATTTTTTTACGAGAAAGTCGTACGATGATCTCTGATATTTTGATCATACAAAATTTAGGGGATATCCTCGATATTTTATGTCACTTTCGTTTCGATTATTATTTAATTTTCATCGAATCTTTATTCCTCTTCTTAAAGATAAAATATTAAATATACTTCACCCTATTCAAAATATACGTAGAGTTACAAAAGAGATTTTAATTTTTCAATTAAAGATCCAAAGATCTCGTTAATTTTCAATCATTCAACTTGGAATGAAAAGCTTGGAATATAAATCCAAGCAGGGCAAATATATCAAATGATCGAATTAGAAAATTTTTAAAATAACAAATTTTTGTGTCTTTTAAGATAAAGATGTCCAAGTGTCAAGTATTGTAACCTGAAAAACTCGAGAAAAAAGTTATCCAAAAATTAGACAAGGGTGGAAAACATTCTATACTGTAGTTAACACGAAATGGCACCTAAGTGCTCGCAGTTGAACAAAACTTTTAAAAAGCGCGTAACAATTCGAGCCAATTTATCTTTTGGAACTGCTGGAAGCCCGGTCGTACGGGCCATTTAAGGGCAAGATAAACCCTGAAAGGACTTTGTTCCGCGCCACCTCTCCCTTTTAAGTAGCCCGGCAATTTTTGTACCTACGTGAAAAATGGGGCAATTCGAGCAACCTCCACCTCATTCACAGCGAGCCACCATCCATTTACATTTCGCTCGTATCTCTCGATCGTTGACCCGCCGTGATTAATTTACTCGAGCAGACCCTTCGTTTGCTCAAACTTCCAATCCTGTTAACTTTTAATTCTCCTCGGGGACCTTTGCCTCGGTTCTTATCTGAAAATGCGGTTGAAAATGCGCTTCCAATTTTCTTTATCTTCCCCTCGAGTGTGGATGTTCTCCCGTTTCAATGTTTGCGATTTCATACCGTCGGATTTTCAATTTGCGAACCACGTTTGCATCCTTTTGAAACCACGTTTCAAAAATTGAGGTCTGTA